AATTTCTTTTTCTACCACATGATCCTCAAGGAATTCTGTAGAAATGCATCAAAAAAGCAACAAAGAAATTATTTTCTCCACCGATAGTAGCCTCAATAGACAGAATGCAAAGTCATGAAATGTATTTTTTCATTAAAGGCTGTGTAACAACCCATTCATTGTTTGCAAACTTGCTGGACAGATATATATATATATATATATATACAGTGTATATATGAGTGTGTGTGTGTGTGTGTGTGTGTGTGTGTATGCTGGAATGGATCTGTCTAAGTGCTAATTAAAACACTACCAGGATGTAAATGAAGTGGACTAATGGGCGAATGAGAGAACAACAAGAATGTAATTTAGACATGATGCTGGAACAAAAACCCCAGTATGGTCCTAGTCTTACTGCTTGTGCTTGTTTGATGAAATCTAGGATGTCCTCTTTGAGGGCCTGGTGGATCTTAGCGGGACCTTTGTCATCCCACAGGCATACAGCATGGACGTCTCTGTGGAGACAAAGAGGACACACGATGTTACCTGTCCCTGTTTTACTGGGTATCGGAGCCAAAGCTGAGAGCAGATGCATTTGAGAATAGGCAAACTTACGAGAACAGGTCAAACCACTGTTGTTTGGTGACGGACTCCTGCCGCAGGAGCTTCAGTACTATGGGACGCATCAGGTCCCATTTATCCTCAAACTGAAGGGAGCCTTTGTTCTGGGAACACACAGGAGGAAGTGAACTACATGAATCAAACTGTTGATGACCTTTACAGGAGCTGGGACTTGTTCATTAAACATGTGAAACACTGACAACACTAGATCAAAACAAATTATATTTTAATTACAATTTAACATTACACATTGATATTTGTGCTGCACAAAGTTACACATGTTCCAAACTCCTTTTAAAAATCTGGCATTTTTTCATTTCCTTGAACAGTGACAAACCTCTCAGGTTATTTGCCTAAACAGTGAGTGTCACTTAAAAAACATAATCACAAAAACAAAACAAAACAACAAAAGTAACAAAAATAACATTTTGTATTTAGAGAGCTAAAATAAATTAATTCTCTTTGGTAGACTTTCATGGAGTAGTCCAGTGGTTAGCTGAGCTTCTGTGTACAGGATTTATCTTAACTTACTGATTAATGTGTTCATTACTATTCTAACTTTCATTTGGGTTTCACCAATCTGCTGATTAATGTCTAAATTAATCATTTAGTCTTTAAAACATGAGAAAACAAACAATTAAATCTCTTGTTTTGTCCAGCCAAAAGATGTTTAATTTACTAGAGCATAAGATGAGTAAAAACAGAAAATCCTCCAAACTGAGAAGCTGGAACCATCAAATGTTTGTCATTTTTGCTTGAATTATTAAAAGGTTAATCATTTATCAAAATAGCTGCCAATAAATCTTCTGTCAATAAATTAATCAATTCATCAGCTAATTGTTGCAACTTGACTGTGGTACTCTGTGTACATTAGATTTCTCCCAAGTGGTCTGAGAGTGCAGTATATGTTTGTGGTGGTGGAACATTATTCCAGACTTTTAATTAATTGATTGATTGGACTCTTTCTAGTGAACAGTCCTCCAGTGATTCAGTATTGCACTTCCAAAAAATTAGGGACTCACAAGAGACAGAATAAGCCAAAACTGATGCAGCAGAAACTGAGACATTCTGACTTTGTGTCATTAGTATGAGCCAAGCTCCAAAAACAATGGATCCTATATTTCCTATAATGTAAACCAACCAATGAAATGAATGAATTTGCTCGGTGGCCTTAAAAACAAATTACTTAAGTTGCAGTTGGATTAATGTCTGAAGCACAAATTAGTATGTTAGGTATAGAATAAGTATGTTGATTTCTAGTATACTAAGAACCAAAACAGTATATAGTACATTTAGTAACTGTACAAAATATATACAGCTGGTTTGTATTTCAAATTGGGACACAACCAATGTCTTTCAAAGGCTTTCTGTTATGATTTTGTAGTCCCCTGGCCCAAGCTGATATAATCTTTATGCCATCATCATCATTTTTCAGATGTGACAAAGCTCTCCTCCAGTGCCACAGAGGAATACATTGTGCAACTATTTTCACAGGCTGACTGGTACCCCCATGACCTTTTTGTGCAATTTGTGCCAGTTCCTGTTTTAATGCGCTGGATATCTGCTGAATTTGAGTGTTGTGGATATGGATAACAGAAGTTAGCAGACTGCAGTGTAAATACACACAACCAGTCTAAACCAATTAGTAGAGCGTTTTATTTCTTTTAAGAATAAGACATATTTATAACAGTTGTTATTTTAGGGTTGTATGCGAGGGCAGATGCCATTTTCCCATGAGCCCATGAGTTCAGAGTGCTAACTAAGACATAGCAGCTCATGTTAGTGTAAACTGTTGTTGTTGTTTACTGTATGTTACAAATATATGCACTTGCAGTAAACAATGACCTGTTTCATTTAAGGTTGGATTCTATTGTTATTGCTGCCTTGATTTTTTTTTTTTTTTCCTTTTAAATCAGCAAGACATATCTATTATACTGCTTGTATTATTACAAGATTAAGTTTATCAGAGAAAGGGATAAGGGAAAGGGACTAAATATTTTAATTAAGAGGGGCTGAACTGGTAGATCATGCTAAACTAGATGTGAAAATTAACCAGAGGAACATGAAAGTAACTGGATGTGTGTGATTGTCCTCATGTTGGTACAATGCAAGGGATAACAGAATAGAGGTGGGGATAGCTAATATGCATGTTTTGGCAATGCTGCCTGCCCAGCATATACAGCTGCTATTACTCCTTGTTTTGACTGCAGTGTCATTTCCCTATAACCGGTCCACTGCTGTAGTGTGTGACTTCTGGCTGGTGTGTCACCTCTCCTGCGCCTATGATTGACTTAGTGAATTACTGAAATAGCAGCAGAGGATTAAGGTTCACTCAATGCATAGAAAATACTACTACGACAGTTGCTTTAGGCTGCCTTTAGCATGTCTTTCAAGGGGCTGGTCAGCTACAGCCTCCTTTGCCACTGACTGACAGATGATATGAGATCTGTAGCTAGCGCATACACGGACTAAAGATATATTCTAGCACAGTTTGAGCTAACGATATGTCTCCCATCCGTTCACAATCTCGCTGTCTCTCCGTCTCCCCCGTGCCTTCCTCTTCCCTTCGCATTTAGCTGTGTTGTAGCTATTCTATTTAGCTAAAATCACTGATATGCACTTAGCTAATGTTAGCCAGATGTAACTTAACTGCTCCCTGCTGAAGTCAACACTGACAGCACAGCCGCGCACAGGTGCAGTGTGCTGCTCGTAAAGGTTAGAGCTAAACGCCGATATTACAGTACAAAAGTGACAAGCACTCCGGAGACCGTTAAAAACAAATAATTGAATTGAAGTGGGTCCTACCTTTAGCAAATTAGACGTCGCCATGTTCCCTCAACTTATCCTCTCGTAAAGTCTCGCGAGAGGTACTCGACGGGTGAAGATGAACCTTATCACATCACTGACTAAGGACTTGAGTTAATTATAAAGAAAATGTCGTCGTAAATCAATCATTTAACTTAATACTATTGTGTTAATTCACATATATTCTTGTTTACCTCAAGCCCCTTTTCTGAATTAAGTTGTAACTTTCAATCATTTGTCTACGTTTAATATTTTTATTTCATCTTGACAGAATTGACACATGATTGTATATTGAGTAAAAACACATGACATTTTCTACAGACAATAAATCATAATGCCAGGTATCTGCAGAGCTAATTCAACTCTTTACCTCATAGTCTATCTTTGAATGACCTTTAGTCCACTTTCAGCTCTATCTTGTAAAGTCTAGAAAGGGAGCGTAACAGGCAAACTGTACCTGCACCCCATACACTGGGTGTAAATCTGGAGGCAAGAAAGCCGTATTTGTACAGCTTCAAGGACAGTTATTGTTTCATGCAATCAGTGTGATATTTGTTATCATTCCTTCTCTGTCTGACAGGCATTTCTCACACAAATGAGGGATTTTAACCTTCATACAAGGATAACAACTGCGGTTTTGGAAAAACAATAAAAATCATTAAGGTTGATATGGAAGTGAATAACGTTTGGAGAAATTAAACACTACTTGATGATTCAATAAAGGTTTTGAGACAGATTTGCTGGCGACAGGACAAAACAAATTTTAATTAATAGGTTCTCATCATTAAAGGCATGATTCATCTTTTAGCCCTAAATATAACCAATGATGGATGAAGGACTTTAATGCTTAGAGGATACTTTATCCAAGTAGAGAAATATCACAGTTTAAAAGTACTCGATACAAGTCCTGCAATCAAAATTTATTTAAGAAAAAGTATTAGCAGCAAAATATACTTAAAGAATGAAAAGTTCAAGTACACATTATTGTGAATAGTCCATTTCAGAGTTATATAATTATATCATTGCATTATTATTACTGATGCTTTAACATGAAAGTAGCATTTAAATGTTGCAGCAGATGCGCAGAGAGAGAGAGAAGGTGGGAGTTGAACCATGGTGCTCAGGGCTCAGGTCCATGTGGTATACAAACAAACAATATAGTTTTGTGTCTCTTATAAGTTTGTGTCTCTTTTTGGTAGTTTTGTGTCTCATATTGCATCACTTGCATCTCTTTATGATGCTTACATACTTTAGTTATGGAACATTTTAAGTTGCAGGAATTTTGTGCAGTGTTTTACAGTGTGGTATTAGCATCTTTACTGAGGTGAAAGATCTGAATACTTCCTCCACCACTGATCAACAATATGATAACTAACACTTGTCTTTGTAGTGTATGTAATGGAGTAAAAAAATGGAGTATGACATTGGAAATACTCAAGTAAAGCACCTTTAAAAACTCTACAGGAGTTATTCCCTCTTTACTCTCATCAGCATCAGATCAAGTTTGACTGCACGGTGTTGACATCACGAAGCTTTTCCTCAACCAATCAGAGCCCAGGAGGCGGTGCTAAGTAACACGAGGCTAGATTGATCTTCTCTTGGGAAAGAAGAAGCTCCTCGTGGATGTCAGTTTGGTGACATTTTGGCAAACATGAAAATTAAACACATCTGGAGAGTTTCAGCACATCTGTCATGACTGAAGAAGAAAACGTATGTACACATAGATTTGTTTTTTTCCTTCGTATTACCATTTTATTTAGCTATTGGTAGTTTAGGGAAGACCATTCAATGACGCTGTCACTCGCGCGAACACCAAACTTCATTGGAAAAAAGGAGAGTTTAAAATTGCTTTTGTTATTGACGGTTATTCATTCACGTTTAGACATAATTTTAATATTACTAGTGACGGTGGGCTACGTTTAAATTCGGGATATATCTAATATTGCAAATTTCGCTTATAGTAGTTAAACAGTTTCCAAAATGTGCTTACCTGTTCACCTTAATACGCCAACGCCTGTAATGTAAACAATTGTGTAAATGATATATAAAATGAAAGTACAGTGATGTAGCCTATGCCGAATTTACCACAAACACGAGCCAATTCGTTTGAATCTTCGCTTTACGTGTGTATTTTAGACAATATTAACATTAAGTAGGTTCAATGATTCTGAGGTTTTGGGGGCATATTTGTCACAGCTGTACTCACACAGAGGACAGGCTCATTGTGCGCCACAATTTTGGTGAGAATCATATTATGAGATTAATGAGGCACATGACATTCCTGTGGAGATTTGGTACCTGTTCTGCTTGGTTAGTCTGATGAAGACAGTAAGTATAAAAGACGCTCATTCTTGAATTTTTTTTTTTTTTTTTTTTTTTGCAAGGTTTTTTTTTCGATCATTCATTCCTTTTCTTTCCTTCACTCTAGGTTTAAGTCCCAGGGAAATGGAAGGGCAGGTGGAGGAGAGACTGTGTGGGAAATGGAGGGTTACCTGTTGTTTGAACAGTTACAACTTGAGGGACATCTTCACATGGTGAGCACCGATCCAGCTGTCTACTTAATAGAATATGTCGATATGTGCTATAGTCAACGATTTATGACTTACTTAAATTCACTGAATTGTTAGTGACAGTTGGGTTTTCACAGGTGACACTTTGACATGTCAATATAAGGAAAACTCAGGTGTAAATAATAATAGTAAGTATATTTTCCAAGTAGCTGTACTTTACCTGAATTTTATTTCTTTTGGAAACGGATGACTTTTACTTACTACTTTACTTACTCTTACTTTGAAGCAGCTTTTGGAATTAATTTTCTTTTATTTTGAAAATGTGATAGGCCATACACTGTGTTCATCACAGCTACCAGTCGCAGCCAACTCCTACACTCTCAGTCATGTTGTGTTTGCTGCATTTGCATTTTTGAACAGCTCAGAAATTTGTCCAAATCAGACGGACGGCAGAGTCTGAATCTGTCTTCCAGCTTGCATATCTTTTTATTTATCTCTTTTTTTTAAACTTTATTATATATATTTATTACATGTAGACTTACTCTCATATAAGCAGAGTAATTTTGCATGCACACCCCCTCCCCACTCTCCAGGCATCTGGTGAAGACCGTAGTCATGGGACAGGTCTTGTCGCTGCTGATCTGCGGGACAGCAGTGAGCTGTGAGTACCTGGCCAGCGCCGGGGTGGAGACGCCCATGCTGCAGAGTTTCCTCAACTACGCCCTGCTACTGATCGTTTATACGACCATCCTCATCACACGCAAAGGTCAGGATATCTAATTAATGTTAATTAATTTGTCCCAAATTTGAACACAGTTTTTAAGAAAAAATTGTGGGTCTGGTTAGTGTCACTGATTCCACATTTATTGTATTTATATTATTAGTTTAGCTTTATTTTAGTTTAATTTAATTTCTTCTGGCCCATACCACATGAGATTAAAACACACGGCTATTTAACAAAACATGCATCTTCTGGTAACACACATACAAATTTAAACATTACAAGTACTCTTCTGTTCTTTCAGATAACATATTTATATTGGGGGGAAAAAAGCCCCATTTAAACTTATGAATATTAAAATTGCTCCCAGCCCACCAACACACAGAAACACCAGCTCCACCTTGTGTCCAAGTCCTATAAAAGGTGACAGAAGATTTTCATTTGCAAGATTCTGTTGTCCATTCCCATTCCTACTCTGACGTAAACCTGATCTGTTTCTACAGGAGAAAGAAACATCATACAGATTTTAAAAACCAAGTGGTGGAAGTATCTGGTGATGGGTCTGGCAGATGTGGAGGCAAACTATGCAGTCGTGAAGGCCTACCAGTTCACCACCCTGACCAGTATCCAGGTGAGAGACGACTGTCATGCTGCTGGACTCACAGTAGAGTGACAGTGTATTATTTACATTAATAAAAATAACTTTTCCAGCATCTATTGATCATGATGTCACAGAAACATACAAAACCCAATTAATCAACAAGTTCAGTGAATTAACGTGTGATTTCCAGTGTGTGGAAAAATATTCTCCTTTCATAATTTCATAAAACCAGGTTTTTTACTTTATGGATAAATTTGTCAGAAATTGTTGATGTTGTTTAAAAGTTTTGATACCAGTGTCAGTTTTGGTAGTGATATCAAAACAACACTTTTTCCAGTACAAAACAGTTTCTTTTTATATTTATCATTTAACTAGAGACGCAGACACACCAGCACTTTGCATAAATAAAATATCTCACAATGCATATTTTTATTTAAATCAGTATCTGTCTGATCGAGAGCTGAAACAATTAGTCAATTAATTATTAGTCAGTCAACAGAAAATGAATCAGCATCTACTTTGACCCTAAATAAATTGTTGTTTTTCTGAGAAAAAATGCCCAAACTTTCCAGGTTTCATTGTCTTAAATGTGATTAATTGCTGGTTTTCTTAGTCTTTAATGATAATAAACTGAAAAACTTTGGTGTTTTTTTAAATTCTTTGTAAAACATAAAGAAATTTGTGAGCATCACTTTTGGCTCTGGGATTGTTCTGGCATTTTTCTACGATTGTCGACAATTAGCAGATTAACCGATTTTGAAAATAATCTTTTGTTGCAGCCCTAATCTGATTAAAAAAAAAAAAGGGAAAAAAATCTGTAAGCATGATTAAGAATTTGACGAATGTTTGACGCAAATTTACAGCTCTAGCCAGACGGTTTTTGGTATTCTGTGTTAGAGACACATTTCAGTTGGTACCAGAAAAGTATTAAGACACTCAGCCTGCGGCATTAACACTGGCAGATTACTGCACCTTTGTTTATTGCACATATGAAGGTGACAGCACTTGTTTTCATCATCGATTAGCCTGCTGATTATCTTTCAGTTAATTATTTGGTCTATTAAATGTGACGAATATAGTGAGAAACGTCAGGAACATTTTCCCACTGCCCAAAGGTGATGTCTTTAAATGTCTGATAATAAACTGAGATAATCAGTTTATTATCAGACAGGACAGAAGCCTGGAGAAGGACTCGGGCACTATTTTGTTTGAAAAGAGCAATTAATTAATTGCCAATTTAATTGATTACACTGCTCATTAATATTTTGTTAATCACCAACAATCTACCCAGTGCTCAGGACTAAGTTGTTGGCTCTGCTGTGCAGGAATTGAGCAATGAGCTGAGGTGAGAATTAGTGGCAATATATCAAATTTTCAGTAATAGGATTTAGGCTTGGTCCACACTGTGCTGTTCTCACAGTGAACGCACGCATGGATGATTCTGTTATCATCAGTGGTGGCAGCTTTAGAAGAGCGGGTTCACTGACACCTTCCGCCTTAATGCCAAAAATATCCAGCACATGAAGTCTTTTAATCGTTGATAGGGAATGTGACCTCCACAGCTTGTCCTGTCTTACACAATGTTTTCTTCCTACTCAGACTCTATGAACAAGTCAGTGTAATCTCAGCCGGTCTTTGTGCTGTTGTTGCTGTGCGTTTCAGCTGCTGGACTGCTTTGTGATCCCGGTGCTGATGCTACTGTCCTGGTTCATCCTGAAGACTCGCTACCGGCTTCTCCACATTGTGGCCGTCATTGTGTGTTTGTTGGGGGTGGGAGCCATGGTGGGGGCCGACATTCTGGCCGGAAGAGACCAGGGGTCCAGTAAGGACACTTTTCTTTATCATTTATATCTGTAAAGTGCTGAAACTTGATGCCAGATGCAATCACAGGGACATCAGTGGTAATATAAAAAGGATATTGTGTTGACAAAGTGACCGTAGTATCTGTGGGGGTCGATGGAAATGTTCATGAATGACAAAACCTGAATGCTCAAATTGTGAGGCTTCTTTCTGTTTTTATAAGATTGTTTTGGAAGCTCCCACCAGTAAAAAATTTGTGCTCTCTATTTTATATCATGGTATACATTCTGCCTCCAATTCTCTTGTCAGTCAGAAGAACTGAATGACATCTGCAGTTTTTAAGGGGAAAACACCCAATTACCCTTTAAAAAAGCTTTAATGGATCTCTCAGATAAAACATTGTTGTGGTTAAGTTTATCCGAGATCAAAATAAATCCATATTAAATCCAAGTGATCCGTAAAGAGAATGTGAACAGTGTTAATGAAGCAGAGATATTTTGCTGAAGTGAGAGCACATTGTTATGCCTTCGCACTGGCAACAGCTCAGCTGCATTTAGCAGATATCAATAAATGTGAGACTCACACAGATTTATAATAAACCAAAAATTACTTTCCTGCTTTTGTTGCTTTTGTGCTGCTGTGATTTGTCTTCTTGTCTCCTTTTTAGTTTGTCTTAATTTGGAAAAAATGTTTTGCTTCCTACTTGAAAATGAATACATAAATTGTTAATAGTATAACATATAAAATGAGCTGCTCTTCTGTGTCTGTGCAGCCAGTGACGTGTTGCTGGGTGATGGTTTGGTCCTCCTCAGTGCCGTCCTCTATGCTGTATCCAACACGTGCCAAGAGTACACCGTGAAGAAACTGAGCCGAGTGGAGTTCCTGGGCATGATGGGACTCTTTGGGACTCTCATCAGTGGCGTACAGCTGTAAGTTATTGTCTACATCCGTATATATATTCTGGGGCTTAAAAACACTCTCTGCCGAAGTGTTTTCCTCAGCATCCTGACTTCATGTCATTGCAGAGCTGTGCTGGAAACTCATGCAGTAGCTGCAATAAAGTGGGACCTTCGTATTTGTAAGTGAACTTTCTGTCTTGTTAAAGTCGGGGATCTGATCCTGCTTTTCAGGCGTCAGTGATAACATTAAAACTCCACCCTCTCTAACTGAAGTCCATTCATTGTTCTCTGCAGCCATGCTGTTTGCAGTCTATGCCCTGTGTATGTACGCACTGTACAGCTTCATGCCCGTAGTCGTGAAGATGACCAGCGCCACTGCGGTCAACCTCTCTCTTCTCACCGCCGACCTCTTCAGCCTCTTCTGTGGCTTCTTCCTCTTCCACTACACAGTGAGTGTCATTAAAAAGCGTCATGGCGTTAGCAGCTCAGTCAGGTATTTATTCATGTTTAATGTTGGTTTGAAAGCTTTTTTTTTCTTTTTAAATTCTCTTTTTTTATAGTCTTACTTCATGATCCATTTAACGCTATGAGACTCAGTTGCAAACAAAAATAATGAATGTGATAGGTCAAAATAGATAATAAATATCTATAATAATATAGATAATACAAGTTAGGACCAGTCAAGTAAATCAAACTATTATTATTCTTGAGCAACATGTCCCATTGAAGAAAAAAGCATTCTTATATCACTAGTTTATGCCATCTTTGTCTCAGAACAGCAGGTTGTTTTTGTATTTTCACCGGTAGGATGTTATGTAACTGATATTTTGAAATAAAGTAGCGTGTTAGAGTGAAAAAGCACCAAGATAAAAATTCACATGACCTTTGTAAAATGCCTTTTTTTTTTTTTCTTTTGAGATGTTGTTTAAAGCAGGAAGTCTATTACAGCCACAAGGTAGATCCTAGAGTTTTCGCTGTAGCAGGCACATTATTGCAAAAACGCTGACGACCGCTTAAGCAACCGTCCATTATAAAATACCATTTGGCTAAAGTGGAGCCACACACATGAACAGATTTTCTCATCTTGAAAATCTCCTGTCTCGTGCGCTGTCCGCAGTTTTCAGCTCTGTACATCATCTCGTTTGTCGTCATCACCGTGGGTTTCATCATGTTCAACGCCGTCCCCACGTACACTTTGTTACCGGTGGACGACCCCGCCGACCCGGCGGAGAGCTCCTCAGACCGCCTGCTGGCAGCGGACAGAGACACTCAGACAGATGAGACACTCACCGCCGTCGCTGCACTATGACAGAGACTCACTGAAGACGGAAGAAGACGGTGTCACTGGGCAAAGGTCATTTTTAACTTTTACATTATTGTTTTAGTACATGCAAGACATTTTCAAATGGAGGTGTGTAACATCTTGTTTCATTGTTTGTGGCACATTTTTAATCCTTATTTATATAAAGATAATTCTTTATAAACGGAGATTAGATATCATCTGTTACTGCACTTGTTCAGGACGTGTCAGTCCTTTCTGCTTTTTTGATATTAATATATTTGATATTTTACAAAATCTGTCAGCTGTGCTGTTACAATCCTCTGTATTATGTTGTTATTTTTGAAATCGACCACAAACCAGTTACAAAGTTTTATTTGACTCTAGTTGCCTTATACAGTTTTCAGACTCGTGTCATTTTGTAATCTACCAAATATACTGTAAATCACATGGCTTTCTTCGCCTTGTATTGCCAAATGTAAAGCATGTTAGTATGCAGCAGACATTCTTACTTTTTTTTTTTAATATTAAATTCATTTTTATAATCTCTTGGGTGCACATCATTCCTCAGTTAATTTACATTTTTAATGTGATTGTTCGGTTATTTTACATAAATTAAAAACTTCAAATGCTGCACTCGACCAGTATGAGATTCATTTAACAAAACGCAAATATAATGTGTGTTTATTCTACATGTTACAGGAATTATGTGCTAATTTAACTAGGGTGTATGTACAAAGGATATCACACATTGAGATCAAGATCTTATTTACAAGTGACAGCTGAGAGAAGAAAGATTAATGAAATAAAAAGAAATATTAATAGCAGCAGAGATACAAAGTTTCATTCTCATCCCTCTCATTAGCGTCCTGATATCATGGAGTTGGTGGAGACCAAAACAGACCTAGAATGAGTGAATATGACTGAAATTCATCAGGCTGCCAAAAATAATGTATAAATCAATGTATAGATAATGGATACCAATGTTGTGCTGTGTCTGCTGGATGTGTAAAGCACCTTTCAACATTCCCTAACATGGGTAAAGCTCCAAAAACATTTCCAACCGATGACATCATTGGTTTAAGAGGCTGTTCAGCTTCGTAGTGATATGTTAATGTAGTGTTTGCAGCTTCTTGCACTGCCCCCGTGTGGCCAAAATCTGTTAGATGCGGGTTTAAAAAGAGGTCACAGGTTCTGTTCCCTGCAACCAATTATGTTTTACCAAAGTGCTGCTGACTGAGACACTAGTCCTCTACCTGGTCTGTCATTTTAAAGTCTCTGTGAAGGAGTGTCTGCAGAATCAATGCAAATGCATGCAATAATGCATGCATAAACATCATCATCATCATCTATAAACATCTATGATTGCATAGCAGCAAAATCTACCGAATCTGATGTTCTCTGAAGAAAATGGGAAATATTTCTTCCAACAGATGAGCTATAAATCGACTGTGCTGACAGAGGTTTTGACCCTCTGTACTGAGCACTGCATTGCCTTGCTGTAGCTTTTAGACTGGACCTGCTCAGCCTCAGTCAGTGACTGTCATCATGGAGGAAAAGCAGATGACTGTAGCCGAGTGAAGAGGACTAAACGCTGCACCCCGCCGCATCCCAGCCTTTGTTTCTCCTGTTATTATTCGAAATCGGTGAGAGGAAATGTTTTCTGTTATGACATCGATTTTATTGCATGTATTTCTTGTCCAGACGATGTTGTAGGGATCGTCTTGCTGCTACGGATTAGTGTTGCTGCTTCGGTTTGCCAGAGACGAGGCAAGGCAAGAATCGCCTGGTTTTACTGGGTGATTCCTCAGTGAATTGTGAATTAAACGTTCACGGGGCTTGATCATAGTTTACCAGTGTGTGTTTCTGTTTCACTGTACCGACTGTGGCGCGACAGAGACGCCGCAAGACGCGTTGAACAAGGTAAAACCGAAAAGCCGCAGATTACATGCGCGGTAACTGTTCAGCACCGCGGACAGCTCCTGAGCCGCGGGCCCGACCTGAGCGCCTCATGTCGGCCTCATCCACAAACCTGACCCCCCCCC